AGAGAGACAGCTTAGTCTGTAAGGATGCTTGCTACCAAGCCTGAAGACCCCTGGGACCTACACAGTACAAGAAAAGAACTGACTCCTACAGTTGTACCCTGGCCGCTCCTGTGCGTGCACGTGCACACATGCATGTATGCACGCACACATGCATACACACACACACACACACACACACACACACACTAAATGAATTAGTGAATTAATTCTGAAATAATAACCATAGTGATGATACTAAAGACCTAACATGGGAAAAGATTAAACAGAGTTAAGATCACACGGAATAACATCTGAATACTATAATCAAGAAATTAAAAATTACATGAGAGAATGTAGTTTACACATAGTCTATTATCTGCTGGTGTTTTGATATACTTTTTTGGCCAAGCAGTAAATTAGACAGTTCTGATAAAAGCTGTGGTAAAACAGATAAAAATCAATAATGCCTTATAAAATACCAGTAAGCAGTGGATTTCAAACTATTGGGGCATAATTATTTCTATTTACAAGTGGATAACATGTATGAATAAGAAACACTCATCTGATTCAGTGTTATACACCTTAGACATACTATGCACACACACTAATGAAACTTGAATGAGGCAGAACACAAATGCTCTCTTATGTCACCCCAACTCTTGTTTCAGCCTCAACTGCCTACCCCAAAATCAGCTTAAGCTCCAGTTGTAGCTAAAGACTGACAAACTTAGCAATATGTATTAAGTCTTACAGTGCTCATTACTAGCAAGCTACTGATAAAGACGTTTGTCGAAACATGACTTCTCGAAACTTGTTAAGTATACAGTTTACTCTACTCACTAAGGCACACCCCTTCTACAAAACACAACCCTGACTTCACATTGTGGTTAGGAGTCTCAGACAAACAAGGGCAGTCACAGCTTACGATGAATCAGGAGAGGAACTACGTACTCACACTACACAGCAATGTTTTAAAAAGTAAAGTGGAAATGCAGAGGAGAAAATACACCAAAGTAGGAATAAGCTAGCGAGGGTGCAGACGGACCACAGAAAGACCATCTGTATCCTCTTCTCATTAAGAAAGTTTTAAAAACATGAAGTAATGTTGGATTGTTCTTCTTATTCCAGCAAAATAAGAAACCATTTATATGTTGGCAATGAAAACAGGACAAAGTACACATGGTTTCTTTTATAAAAAATAGCACGATGCTGTCACCTACACCTATGAACTACTATCTTGATCATGAAGTAAGACTACTTTATTCCTGTGGTTGAGAGAATAGTATATAAACAGTCTAGAAATCCCCAATGACTTGTGACATGAAGACCAGCCTTTGCGCTAAGAAGCTGACCTTCATCTCCAGCAGTGTTCTCCACAGATGCCCAATGTTAAAATGCCTTTTACACTGTGTAACACTCAGCCACTGTAGAAGATCACAAAGCATGGGTAACAGTGTGACAGCACTTTCTAAAAACCACCTCACCATCCAGACACTGCCTCGGTAATAACTCAGACATTTTTGTATCTCTTTCTCCGTTCCTCCATCCCTCGCCTCCCCTTCCCTTCCCTGCCCTCTCCACAGCTTCAGTACCACCTACATGCTGAGGACGTCCCTTCCTCCCCAGACCTCACCTATATGCTGACGACTTCCAGCTTCCGCCCCAGACCTCACCTATATGCTGACAACTTCCAAGCTTCCTCCCCAGACCTCACCTATATGCTGACAACTTCCCGCTTCCTCCCCAGACCTCACCTATATGCTGACAACTTCCAAGCTTCCTCCCTAGACCTCTCACCCTCCAGTAACTCTACACACCAAACTTCTCATCTCCTCTCCAAACCCATATGACCTCACCCAGCAAACAAGTCACCTCTTATGTGGGGATCACTTCTATTGTTGATAGCAGTTGGTTTTTACTTTATTTAAAAAGAAAGAAAGAAAGAAAAAGGAAAAAGAAAGGTCCATGGCTTCTGTCAGGGGCCTCCAATCTGTGTCCCATGGATGCTGTCTTGGGGCTGCCTGAGTATCTTCCCAACACGGCAGCTGGCTTCCCTTCCAGTGAGTAATTCTACTGAGTGTGCCAGGAGGAAGGCACAGTGCCTCCACTGTCTAGCTCTGAAGTGGTGAACCATCACATCAGTCAAAGGCTAATCATCAGAAGTTAAGTCCAGCATGTACTCAAGGGAGAGAAAATGAAGCCCCTTCTTCTAAAGAGGGAAACATAGAAGGCTGGGCACAGTATAAAACTGCTGTAAGCCCTCAATCCGAGGCACCTTCATTCTCAGACATGCAGGTCCCTGGAGCCATCCTGTCTACCAACCAAGCTGGTCTACATCCTCACATGCACAGTCTAATGGCCTCTCCGTTTGCATCGCTGCCGCCATGCTGGTCTGATAGCACGCTGGTCTCTTTCCTAAACTTGTGGAACGCCCTCCAGCTTCTGCTTGTGCCTTTTAATTCCTTCTTCACATGGAAACCACCAGAAGCTCGCCTTATTTTGTACTGTATTACTTTTTAAAACAAGGTCTCATGTAGACTAGGCTGGCTTCAGACTTGCTATGTAGCAGAGGGTGACCTTGAACTTCCAATCCTCCTCTGTCTCCTCCTGAGTGTCGTACCCTAAGCCCAGTTTATCCAGTACTGGGGATCAAACCCAGGGCTTAAGGCCTATTAGACAAATACTCTATCAGCCTAGCTACATTCCCATGCGCCTCCCCCATCATCCTCTTAAAACCTAACTCATGCAAGGCTCACCCTTTAATCCTGGCACTTGTACTCAGGAGGCAGAGGTAGGCAGACCTCTCAGTTCCAAGACAGTTGAGGATACACAGGAAGGCCCTGTCTCAAAAATAAACAGATAACTAAACCTAAGTCAGTCATGTTACTGTAAACACTCAGCTCATTCTCACTTCAAATTCCCTCACACTGCTCTTCTTCCACAGCACCCTTCACTGGACACGCTGTATAATGACCTGACTGGAATCTCCCCTGTTCACTGTCTGTGTCTGCTTACTAAACACAGTAACCAAGGCAGGCATCCTAATGGGTTTTTTTTTGGGGGGGGGTGTCTTTTTTCATGTTTCCTGTGTCCTGAGCTACACAGTGAGACCCCACCTTGAAAATTCAAAAAGAGGGCTGGGGAGGAGAGAACCAACACAATTTTCCAGCTAACAGACATGATGCATGGTGAACATTCTTCCATATCATGTTTAATGGCTAATCAGTAGATGACTATATGGCTAAATCACATCTTAGCCTATGGCGTTTCATTGGACATTTGGATAGTAACTACCTCGACCCTATTACAAATGCTGCAATGAAAGTCCTCTGGCAGGTGTGTGTGTGTGTGTGTGTGTGTGTGTGTGTGTGTGTGTGTGTGTGTGTGTGTGTGTGTGTGTTGGTCAGAGGACAGCTGGGTCGTCTAGTCTCACTCCCGCCTTGCTTGAGGCAGGAATTCTCTTGTTTCTGCTGCTGTGCCATGCAGCTGGCATTGAAGTCAACGAGTGATTCTCCCGCCTCTGTCTCCCATCTCAGGGTACAGGGATAACAGATGGCCACGCTCCACTTTACATGGTTCTGGGGGTCCAAATCCAGACCATCAGACTTGCAGGGGAAGTGCTATTTCACACTGAACCATCTTCTCAGCCTAATGTAAAATGCTATCACATGATTCACTTCTTTGAGAAATATCCTAGACATAAAATTGCTGAGGGAAAAGATTCACTTTTCTGGAGGGAAGAGGAGAGTCAGGATCTCACTCTGTGGACCAGACTAGCCTGGAGCTTGCTGTGAGGCACAGGCTATTATTGTCCTCTTGCTTCAGTCCAGTAAAATGGGATTGCAGGTGTGTCCTATTACCACATCAACTTTATAGGTTTTAATAATAATGTACTATCCTGCTCCTGCCAATCTCCTCACACCTCACCAACATGAGTTATCCATGAACTGAAAAGTTACATAAACTCGAGTTTGTAGGAACATGGTTGTGCCTTTAATGAGCTTAATTGCAAGACAAAAAAAACTTGCCTCGCTGGACTCCTGGGAGGATCAAGTGGACACTGGCTAGCAAGTTATGTAGCTCCCTGCTTGAGGCTCTCAATAAAAGTTACTTTACCCTTCCACTTTCCACCATTATTGTAACTTTAAAGAAAACAACTACAAAGTGCTGGCACATTATTACAGAAATGCCAGCCCATAAAGTACTTTAAAGTGCATCTTAATTTAACCTCTTTCTTCAGGGTTAACATCCTGCATGAAATCAGAAATCTTCCTAAGCTCAGTGTGCAGCTGGGAAGACACTGTTTTATCCTAACCCCGGCTTCTGTTTTTCTTTCTGACAGCAGCAAAGAGAAGCAAGCCTTCCAAAACCGTGGAAGCAGAGTGAGGGCAGGTCACGCCCAGGTGCGTCCTGCTCTCCCTGGCAGCCACATCCCAGTCAGAACAGCTGGGGAGCACAGAGTCAAAAGAGGCTTCACCTGGAGACGCCCAGAGTTGAGATCTGGGCTTAGCTTACAAACGAACACAATGGCAACTTCCTTTAAACATCCTGGAAAAAAACCAGTGGCAGCTGCTCCCGCCTCCCTTTGACGTGGACGTGAACAAACTGGGCGACTCCCCGCGCGGGCGCACAGCGCTACAAGAACAGGCCGGTGGCCAGACAGACCGACACACAGACAAGAAACCTGAAGACACCCCAGCAGACAGACATCGACACACACGATGCAGCCAGCGCCCTGCAAGGCCAGGCCAGGCCTAGGGACCACTGCGAGGTGCTGGCCCTGGAGGCGCGCACCCCAGCCGGGGTCCCAGGACCTCCCAGCCTCTGCCTGGGGTCTCTGCACACCGCGCCACCCCGTCCCCAGTCCCCAAGTGCTCAGTGCGCGCGCAGGGACGCCCCCGCCAGACGCGCGACACTCAAGGAGCCCGGATGCCGCCGCGGACGCGGAGGCCCGCACCCCGGACTGCGAACACGACAGATGCCCACGCCCCGAGTCCAGGTCGGGCCCGGCAGACACCCACCGAGCTCCTCGCATCCTGCCGCCTCCGCCGGCGCCGGCGCTTCCATCCCTCGGGGGTCTCCAGGTCGCAGCCGCCCGCTCTGCCGCCCGCACTGCCGAGCATGCGCAGAGCCGCCCCGAGGGGCGGGGCCCGGGCCGGCCTCGACCGCAGCCCACGAGGGACTGCGCCTCGCGGGGTGACAGGCGCGATTCCGAGAGGCCGGGGAATCTGAACCCGCGGCTTCGCGTGCCGGAAAACGGGGCCTCGGGCCGCGCAGAAAGCGGGCAGCCTGCAACTCCGACGGTCGACGGTCGGTCTTCCTCCATCCCAGTTTACACTGGCACTGGCATCTTAAGGACAGCTGAAGCTAGGGTTGAGGCAAAGGGAGGTGTCCCGCGCTGTCAAGCACTACACACATTGCTGCGTGGTTCCGTGGGCACCGGAGAGACCACGCGATGCTGGAACCCACTGTGCTCACTGTCCACGCAAAGGGATGTCACCTCACCACCCACAGTGAGCCAGTGAAGGCAAGGCAGGAAACCGCCACTGCAGCGGGGACTCCCGGCCTGCATGCAAAGCTGGCCTCTGGTGGACCCCAATAAATACATGATGAATCCACAGGAAAAAACACGGTTCTGATTAAGAAAATATTTAATTTTGAGACTGAAGACTGTGTGGTGGCTTACTCAGGTAATCCAAAACTGGGAAGAAGAGGCAGGCAGGTTTCTGTGAGTTCAAGGCCAGCCTCGGCTACATAGAAAGTTCCAAGACACCCAAGGCTACATACACAGACCCTGCCTTACCATAAAATTAAAATTTGAAAGACTACTACGGTGGCAAATGCCTGTAATCCCAGCACTTGGGAGGATGAGGCTGGAGTTGAAGGCTATCCTTAGTTTTGTATGGCATTCGAGGCCAGCCTGAGCTGCATGAGATTTTGTCTCCAAAAAATAAAAAAAAATTAAGTAAGTAAACAAATAACTTAGAAATTACTGTCAGGACATCACACAAAACTTTTTGTTTCTTGTCTGTGTTTTGGAGTCAGCTCAGGAAAGAGGTATGTTTGTTTCTGTGGGAACAGGGCAGTCTGAGTTCAGGCCACTAATAAAAGCTCAGTGTGTTAGATATTCAAACTTCACAGATTAAGAGAGAACCAGTTCCTCTCAGCCCCACATCTTTCCTCCTCTCTGAAATCCTCAAGGTTTTCATCAGATAACTAGGCACAGTAAAACTTTTGCTCACACCCCATTTTCCCCTGAAAACACATACACATCACAGAGAAATCCCCACTCCTCACAAATAGCACAAATTAGCAGAGATGGTGAGCTACTGGGACCTGGGTCCCTGGGCTGCAGGGCAGCAGAGATCTGTATCAGAAGTGATAGCCTGTGTTTATCACTGCGTTAAAAGCATCAAAAGCCATTGCCTCTTAATGATGGCACACAGGGAGACTAGCCGGACTGTCCTGCGAGGCCTGGTTAAGACAGGCTTCCAGACTGGGTTTCATTCCTGTGATGTGAGAAAAAACCAGGTGGTGAGGAATCAAGAGAACTGTGCTATCGTACATCATTATGTCACTCTTGCTCCCCGGTCTTATGAATTGAGGCAGTAGTCCCCTACATCCCAAGACTGACAGAATGCCTGCAACCGTGGGTGAAATAAACACTGAACCCTATGTAAGCAAACATAAGACAGGGTTTAACTGATAAAACAAAAGACGTGTGAGACTGGCATTGGGGCATGGGCTTCTTCCTAAGGGTTACTTGAACACAACACGATAGTAGGTAAGATAAACCAAGACACTGAGTGAGTACTGGGAAGGTAGTATATACAGCATGGATACTCTACAAAACACTGAGTGAGTACTGGGAAGGTAGTGTATACAGCATGGATACTCTACAAGAAGAGGAGATTCACAAACATGCAGAGGGGGGTTCCTCAGTTCGAGACTTCACCACAGTACTCAGTGCGGTTTGTAATTTGTGACTTCCTCTTTGTTGTTGTTTTGTTTTGTTTTTCGAGACAAGGTTTCTCTGTGTAGCCCTGGCTGTCCTAGAACTTGCTCTGTAGACCAGGCTGGCCTTGAACGCACAGAGAATGACTTCTTTATTTCTAAGATTTTCTACTTACTATTTTCAGACCACAGCAGACAGGGAGTGACTACAGACTTGAGAGCCAAAAATCACATATAAGGAAGCACACACTAGTCCTTGCCACCACAGGAACTGCGACCACTGCTGTAGGTGAAGGTGTAGAATGTCACTGCCTCCGTCCACATGGAACTGAAGGTGCCTTACACAGCAAGCCCGAGAGAGTGGAGAAGCTGGGGAGAGAGGGGGGGAGAGAAGGGGAAGCTGACAGATCTTAACTGCTGCTGCGGAAAGTGACAGAATGTTGCTGGTCGAGAACCCTCTTCAGATCGGGGAGGCTGAACAGTTGGACTCTGCTTCGGGAAGAGTTGACCAGGCAGGCATGTGTATAAAGCAGACAATTTCAGCTTGCCTGTTAGGTATTGCCTATTTTGTATTTTAAAGTGGCTTCACCATCTGCTGATTTCCGGGAAGGAGGAGCAACTTCCTCCCTATCTTCTGAACATCGAAGGTGTCCGATGGGTGGACGTAGGAAACACAGTGACAGTGCCCTGGGAGATTCTTCACTGGGGCTGATAACATGACCTTTACTGCAGAGTCTTTGTTTACTTAGCTCTTTAGGACTGACTTCTCAAGCTGAAAACCAAGAAAAATGATGTGTGAGTTTAACTTATTGTGAAAAGGCTTCACACTGTCCTCACATAATTTTTTATAAACACATTATATCCGCTGTCTTAGTTAGGGTTTCTGTTGCTATGATAAAGCAGCATTGACCAAACGCAGCTTGAGGAGGAAAGAGTTTAGTTCACCTTACAGCATGGAAGTCCATCACTGGGGGAACCCAGGGCGGGAACTCACGGCAGGAACCTGGAGGCAGGCACTGGAGCAGAAGCCATGAAGAGGTACTGCCTGCTCACTCTGCTTTCTAACAGCACCCAGAAACACCTCCTCAGGAGTGGCACTGCCCACAGAGAGCTGGGCCCTTCATCAATCAAGACAATAGACTTGTCTACAGGCCAAAATGGAGGCATTCTCTCAATTGAGGTTCTCTCTTTTCAGATGTCTAGAATTGTGTCCAGTTGACAAAAATACAGCCAGCACATCCACAAAACGAAAACAGAATGCGATGAAAAAGAGGATAATGTGGGAGCAGGAAGCAGAACCAACAGACAAGGAAGAGTTAAGTATAGGATCCACCCAGCAGATCTGGAATCTTAATTCAGGCAGACAAAAGGGAAGGAAAACCAGGAATCACACATCAGGACTGAAGAACACTATCGTTGAAAGGCATTTGTTCAGAACTGAGCAGACCCCTGACTGCCCAATACAGCAGGTGACAGCCAACTTAAACCAAGACATATTATCATAAAACTTTAGAGTAATGAAAACAACAGAAGACGCTAAACGTTGTGCTGCCAGTTTAAATACTAAAAGGCAATGGGGAGAGCCTCCTTGGCTTGAAGCTCACCTGCCAACTCATAGCAAACGTCAAAGGCTAGAGCTCCATGAAGCATTGAATTCCACTTTTTCAAGGAAAGCACACCCAGCTAAAACTCTATCCAAACTGTGGATACAGTGAAAGAAAAATACAAACACACTTTGATATAACATAAAAACTCAGTCTGGCCATCTCATGTACTCTGTCTTAGTGAGCTTTGGAAGAATGCTTTACCAGAATTAAGGCGTAAACCTAGTTAGAAGACATGGCAACATGGCAACCAAGAAAGCAAGAATCCTAGGCAGGCGAGGAAGAGATCCCAGACCACAGTTGCACCTGGAGAGATGTCCGTCCACCTGGAGCACCAGGAAGGGATGAAAGAAATGGTAAAGTTAAGGAATATTCTGAAATTATACAATTTGGACAAAAAGACGTTTTCCTCCTTTTGGAGAACATCAAAAGACTTTGCTGCAAACATGACAAAAGCCAAGCAGCAGGACAAGGTGAGGGGCTGGATAGACACACGGACAGCAGGTCTAGTTAATGCAATGTTGATAAAAAGAAATAAAGTATGAGCAGAGCACATAATACGCCTTGGCCATGAGTAATACACACAGCCACATCCCAAGAGATGATGAACAATGGCAAACACGTTATGATTCTGCAGGTGCAGACTAATATAAAGATTCTAAGTTCTTACTTTTTATAGTTATGGGGAAATGATGATAAACAAAATGGAAAAATTAGTGTGTGCTTTCTTGAAGTGTGGAAGCAAATACAACATGAAGTTCCTGAGTTTAGAGCAGTGGCCTCTAAAAACAGAATGGTAAGTAGGCAAGACTCCATCTTTTATCATAAGTCCTATTTGATTTTAAGCTATGTACGTGGTAAAAAAAAAATACTAAATTCTCAAAAGAAATATCAGCCTCTACAAATTATTAATTTTTATTAAGACAAATATCCTAGAAAGTCATCTATAACATGAAGCTTATTAATTTTTAAAACCATACTGTTTCCTGTTCTGTAGTTATTTTCAGAATCTTTTGGTATTTTGGTGGTAATGCTGGTGGTGCTGGTGGTCATGGTGTTGATGGGGGAGATAGAAAGGGGTTTGTGTGTGTGTGTGTGTGTGTGTGTGTGTGTGTGTGTGTGTGTGTGTGTTGTGTTTATCTCAATACTGAACTGCCAAGTAACTTCTCCACCGATGAGTTACATCCCAGCACGTTTTTGTTTCTTTTTTGAGACAGTTTCAGTAATTGTTCAGATTGGTCTCAAACAATCAATCCTGCTGCCTCGTTTTCCCCAGTAGCCAGGATCTCCAGTGTGTTTTATTGTGCCCAGTAGAAATTCCCTGCTTCAATGCCAGCCATCTCTATGGCTAAGGACACAGCACCTCAGATTCTAAATTTTTAGAGTCTGTGAAGATGACGAAGAAAATGTATTTCCTGAAATGTTCTTTAAATTATTATACTTAGAGTCAAAAGGAGCCTGTGTATTTATTAAATACTACCGACCCACAAGTGACAGGTTTAAACTAATACTAACTCATCCAGCTATGATACCCATTTAAACCCACTTACATGTGAAAGTTTGTCAGGAGCCATCGTAAGTTATAAGTCGCTTTCGTTTGGGGCTGGGAAAGGTTAATGTTCCACACTGGAAATTCAAGGCAGTAAACTGAAACACTGCTTGTTATACTAACTGACCTAAGAAGGGTGTCCTGGGAAAGCATGGCACAGTTGAGAAAGAGGAAGCCCCGCTGAGGAGCTGCCTCACAGCAGTCTACGTTGCCCCAGATTGGCAGGGCTCAGTGAGCATGCT